CAGCGCCGCAGGCGGAGGAGTAGCCTATTGAGCCACGGCACCGGCTACCCCTTAACTTTTAGAACCTTCCACTTCTAGAAGCTTCCCAAGAAAATAACTGCAGTCACATACAAAGGGTGTTTGGTTGCAAGGTTACAGTAGTGATAAATAACCTAAATGTCTACCACTGAGGGAATAATAGATGATGATGAAAATCATACTATGAAGTATTATGCAATCATTAAAACATCAGTTTTGAAGACTTTCATGTGATGAGACCATAGCTCATGTCACGCAATCATATTAAGGGACAAACAAACCACACCTGTAAAACTAGATATATAGCATTTTCCCTAAATTTGGATGTGTTAATAAGTAAACTAGATATTGAAAAGGGCAGAACACAAGATACTAACTGTGGCTAATTTGGCATTGAAATTATGAGTTACTTATATTTTATATTTTTACAAATTTTCTATTATGAGTATGCAGAACTTTAATAAGCAAAAAATAAATTTGGTTGTCTAAAAGGAAAGATGCCACCATGGCATAGGAATGAAAAATGTTAATAGTCAAACCTACTAGGGGCTTTCTAGACCAAGCACGCGTTATATTTTCCTAGTTCCCAGAGACACCCATGACAGTCTGGCTCAGTCTCATTCCTGTGGAAGGAAATATAACAAGAGCATCCCTGAAAGGTGGGGCCTGGCCTGGGCCAGAGCTTTCTCCTTGGCCTTCTCTGCCCTTCCCTCACCTCAAGCTGCTTTTCAGCTCCCACGTTTTTACCTCCCTACCTGTAAAGAGACACAGCCCCTCTGGCCCAATCAGGGAATTATGTGTTTCATGGTATTTGAGGAAAGAAAAAAAAATCTCAAACTACCTTTCACCAGTAGTAAATTTCTTACTCATGATAGTTATTTCCTAACTTACTGTGAGAGTCTGTTTTTATAGGTCACAAGCAGTATAAACTAACATTGTATCCCTGAACTGCCGAGTTTTATTTCCCTAAAATGTGGTTTCTTTCTAAAGCTGCCAGTTTACTTGGGCATTTTGATTATAAATAACAAAAACTGTTTACTTATACTCTTCCATTTTTGTTGTCTAGGTAATCATTTTTTCAAGTTCAAAGGCAAGTCACTAATTCCTTCTCATTTTTTTTATCTCAATATAATATGTGGAAAGGGAGAAATTTTTCTGCTCCAACAGGGAAATCTAAGCCTGAATGGGTAAGAAGCCTCTACTGGGAACTTTTCCCACAGGAACACGAATATCCATATTTGCAATAAGAGTATAAAATATTGGGAGAAATCTTCTTTTCTTTACTTTTTAATTAAAAAACAGATTCAGGCTCCTGATGCGGTCAGCATATGATCCCTTATATACTCTTGCAGCTAGATATTAGGATGCCTGTGCACACTCTTCTTCTGCTCTGAGAAAGGTAAGGAAAAATCAATTCTTTATATTGATCCAATGCCCAAAGCCAGAATCTTCACTTGGAATTTCATTTGAGGTATTTCACTTGCCTTTTGAACATTTAAGTAAAGAAGTATGCATGTAATGGGAAAAGAACTAGAAAAATACCAGGTTTTCTGATTGCTTTCATGAAATAGAGTCATCCTAATGGCCCCTAGCACAGGGTCTGTACTGTTCCAAGAGGAAAGAAACAGAAAAAGAGGAGGAAACAGAGGGGATAAAGCAAAGGAGTGCTATGTGGGCTCTGATGACAAGCAGCCCTGACCAAATCAGATTGCAAAACAACTGGCAGCCTTCAGAAATTAGAGGCTGTCATGGGCAGGCTGTATCTAAAATTTTTAGCCCAAAGCCCTCCATTGCACATTTTGAACTAAACTCTAAATGTTAAGGAGCAGAGAGCCAAAGGGTCTATGAAGAGAGCATGCTAGCCAGAGAAAATGGACGTGTTAAGGGCCTACAGTTTGCATGACCCTGGCATGGGTGGGCAACGTGTTTGAGTCAGCGGGACTGGAGGATGGTGAGATGAGGAGGCTGGAGGCTAGTAGGGATAAACCTGGCCACTGCATAAACACTGGACTCTACTCCTGACAAAATGGAAACCTCTGGAAGCTTTGTAATTCATTCTTGAAACATGTCTGTATCATTTAATTTTCACAAAAGTAAATCAAAGTAGTAAGTCTATAATAAATGAAACCCACATTCCTTAACATGGTCCACAAACCCTGTATCAAATGACCCTATCAACCTCACCAACTATACCTTTTTCTTCATCTTCTCCTGCCCCAGAGATCTAAAGTTTTAGTGTACTTGTTCCTGTCACCTAGAATATTCTCACCACCACTATGACCATCATCATCATCATCACCACACACACACACACCCCCAACACTTGCTCTTTCTTAGAATAAAGCCTTCTGATTTTTTCCTTTCAGTTTATTTATTTATATATTTTTTGATAGGCAGAGTTAGTGAGAGAGACAGAGAGAAAGGTCTTCCTATCCGTTGGTTCACCCACCAAATGGCCGCTGCGGCCAGCGTGCCGATCTGAAGCCAGGAGCCAGGTGCTTCTCCTGGTCTCCCATATGGGTGCAGGGCCCAAGCACTTGGGCCATCCTCCACTGCCTTCCCGGGCCACAGCAGAGAGCTGGCCTGGAAGAGGAGCAACCGGGACAGAATCCGGCACCCTGACCGGGACTAGAACCCAGGGTGCCAGCGCCACAGGCAGAGGATTAGCCTAGTGCCAAGGCGCCGGGCATCGTTTCAGTTTAAATGTCACCTGCTCAGAGCTTTTCTGATCACCTGGCCTAAAATTGGTTCCTCACCTTTCTTTCATAGCCTCCTGCCCTTTTCCCTCAAGACACTTATGACAGTGTCAATTTACTTGCTTAATGTCCACAGTTCTCACTAGATTGACAGTTTTGAGAGAGTAGAAAACATGTCTTTTCTGTTCATGACTGTATATCCAGGACTTGATAACCACCTGGATAAGAGGATGCAAAAACAATATATAATCAATGAAATCAAACTAAAACTTGGTTCCAACTTGGCAAACCTTTAGCCACAGTAACCAAGGAAAAAAGGGAAGACTTAAATAACTAAAATAAGGAATGAGAAAAGGGACAATTGTATGTCAACAAATTACCATAACATCCATGAAATGGACTAACTACCAAAAGACACAAATTACTACAACTGATTTAACAAGAAATAAAAAAATGAACATACCTATAAGTAAAGGACTGAACAGTAATTAAAAAACTTATGCAGAAAAGCATAAGACCACATGGCTATACTGGTGGATTCTACTTATTAAACATACAAAGAAAAATTAATACCAGCCATTCACAAACTCTCCCAAAAATTAGAAAATGGGGAAACACTTCCTAATTCATTCTACTGGACCAGTATTACCCTGACATCAAAACTAGACAATGACATATACAGAAAAGAAAGCTACAAACCATACCTCTATGACTATAGTAGAAATTGTCAACAAAATACTAGTAAATTGAATACAGCCACATATAAAAAGTTGTATACATCATGACCAGGAGGGATTTATTCCCATAAAATAAAGTTTATTAAATTCCCAAAAATCAATATAATACATCTTATTAATACAATAAAGGAAGAAAATCATCAAATCACTTTGATAAACAAAGAACAAGGACAAAATCAAAAACTCCTTTGTAAAACACTCAAGAAACTAGAGAGCTTCTTCAACATGATAAAGGCCACATATACAGAATCCATAGCTAAAATCATACTTAATAGTGAATGATTGAGTGTCTTCTCCCTAAGATCAGGAATAAGACAAGGTTATCCATTCTTTTTTTTTTTTTTTACCACTTTCAGTCAACAATTCACTGGAGGGGCTGCGCCGTAGTGCAGTAGGTTAATCCTCCGCCTGTGGCACCGGTATCCCATATTTGCGCTGGTTCTAGTCCTGGCTGCTCCTCTTCCAATCTAGCTCTCTGCTATGTCCTGGGAAAGCAGTTGAAGATGCCCCAAGTCCTTGGGCCCCTGCACCCGCGAGGGAGACCTGGAAGAAGCTCCTGGCTCCTGGCTTCGGATTGGCACAGCTCTGGCCGTTGTAGCCATCTGGGAGTGAACAAATGGAAGGAAGACCTTTCTCTCTGTCTCTCTCTCTCTCTCTCACTGTCTGTCTACCTCTCAAATAACTAAATAAAATCTTAAAAAAAAAATTCACTGGAGGTTCTAGACAAGGCAATTAGGCACAAATATGAAATAAAAGACTTACAATGTGGAAAAGAAGAATTCATAAGACATCAAGGGCTGGCACTCTGGTGCAGCAGGTAAAGCCACTGCCTGCAGTGCTGGAATCCCATATGGGCACCGTTTCTAGTCCTGGCTGCTCTAATCCAGCTTTTTGCTATGGCCTGGAAAGTCTTTGGGCCCCTTCACCCATGTGAGAGACCTGGAAGAAGCTCCAGGCTCCTGGCTTTGGATTGGTCCAACTCCAGCCACTCGGGGAGTGAACCAGTGAATGGAAGACCTCTCTCTCTCTGCCTCTGTAACTCTGCCTTTCAAATAAATAAATAAATAATAATAATAAAAGAAATCATAAGACATCAATAAAACTGCTGTTTTTTTTAAAGATATAGTGATATTATGTGGTAGATGCTTAGAGTACCTAATGGGAATTCAACAACTATTGGCCAATATGTTTAAATAATGACATTTTCTCCTACTAACTGTTTGCTATGCTGTGTAAATAGGTTATTATAGAAACATGAGAAAAAAGAAGAAAAACTTGTTTTGGGAACCTTGTTAGCTAGGCATCAGTATTCCCAACATAAAGTATTTATATGTGCTGAATGAGACAAACAGTTTACTAGAAGCTCAGAGTGGTAGAAGATTATATTCTAAGCATTTTTATTAAGACTCAATCACCTGAAGACTTTTACACTACAAAATGCAAAACTAATCTCCCTTTAACAGCTAAAGCCATTCTGTTCCCAGGACTAGCAATTCCCACAGTGTAACAAGTGCAGAAGGACTTAAAAAAAACAAAACCACATACTCACATTTCGCAGGACGGGAAGCGCCAACTGCTCAAAAGAAGTCACGTCAACCACATACTGCCCAACTCGGCATTCACGTTTTCCAGGTGGAGGCTCTGACCTGAATGAGAAGACACTGTGTTCTTTGTTGAAGACTCCTGTATTGATGAGTGGTTTCAGCTGCTCTGCTGAGCCTCTGGCCTTCTGCGTATGCTAGGTCATCCTTAATAATCACCTACACAAAAAGCAGTGGTGTACAAAGCTGATCTGATTTGGTTTTCTCTTCTGAGAACAGAGCTACCACTAAGTGTCCAACAATGGGCTTTGCAGTTATGATGGTGGGAACATTCCCACAGCTCCAGGCAGCTATTACACAAATTATCTTTGAAGAAAATGGCACTAATTTGGCACAAGTCTGGCACAGTAGTTAAATTGCTGCTTGGGACACCGGCATCCCATATGGGAATGCTTGGGTTTGAGTCCTGGCTCTGTTCCCTATACCAGCTTCCTGCTAATGCACACCCTGGGAGGTAGGTGACTGCTTAGGCACTTGGGTCTCTGCCTCCCACATGAGACGGCTGGATTGTGTTCCAGGCTCCTGGCTTTGGCATGGCCCACCCGAGTTACTACGGGCATTTGGGGAGTGAAGCAGAGGGTAGAAGATTTCCCTCTTTCTGTCTCTACCTGTCTCTGCCATTCAATTAAAAACTAAAAAAGTAAAGAATAGTAGTACTGAGAAACAGGGCCAAGAATTAGAAATGAGAAGAGTTTATGACTCAGTGGAATTAAGTTTCAAGTGAAATATGACTTCTTACATATGTTTTTCATGTGATAGTCTCATTCTGTTTTTGTTCTCTGAGAAATCTCTAAAGGCCAAGATTCTCAAGACATGATCACCTGGTTCAATCCTGTACCCAGGGAGAAACTTGACACCTGAACAAAAAGCAGAGTGAAGGGCTCCACGAGGTATTTACTTTGGTGAACTCAACTCTTGTTGAGTCAGAATAGAAAAGCTCCCAAACACAGAAAGACAGCTCAGGGCATAAAACAGTATAGCAGTGAGTTCTCAGTACCCGGTTCTAGATAAAGGCCCCCGGGAGCCAGACAGTGTGACGACATCAAATCCTATTCTTCTCCCTCCCTGTCTGACTTCTTCTGTGTAGAATCCATCCACAGGCACACCAGAGGACCTTAACACCTCACTGGTTTTCTGGATTAGTGTTGTTTTTCCGACCCCTAAAAAAAGAGAGAGAGAGAAAGCCCGTTAAGAAACACTCCCTTGCTGGCACACACAACACTTACTGACTCCAAGAGAGCAATCATGCTTGGTTGAAAAATGGGCTACAAATGGATTTTATGAATATTAATTCCACTTAAAGTTTGATTGCTCCAGGTGTGAATCATTTTTAAAGCAGAAACAAGCATTATAAAAATATGAATGATATCTAGAAGTTTATTTTTAAGTTCTAAAACATTATCAGTTTTGTCACATACACAATCCCAGAACCGCCTGAATGGCTTTCTCATGGTGTTCTCAAATGCAGTTTACATCCAAGGAGAAAAACTTGTTTTCTCCTGGGTTTCCCCTCCTCACCTGTCTACCTAGGAAGTATAGCCAGTCATGCTTGTGTCAGAAGCCGGGCACTTTAAACTAGGATTTTAATCCTCAGGAGACTGTGGACCTAGCCCTAACAGTGGGAAAATCTCTTCACTGCTCCCTGGGCTCTCTCTCTTCTGAAAATGTATCTCTTAAATACCAGGAACACGTGAGCTTTTCCACAAGAGCAATCCAACAGGTTGGCAGCACCTCCCAACACCATCTTCCCCACTGTAACTTCAAGTGGCCCTAATTCCTTCACCAGTTAGAACCCCCTGCCCCCACCGCACTCTCTTTCTCCCTATCTCTGCCCCTTCCTTTGCCCAAGTCTGGCCTGCCAACTACTCTGACAAACTCCATGTGTTCACAAGCACCAACAAGTTCCACCAGATATTTTCATTAGCATTATGGAACCATGCAGACAAAGCTTTAGCACACTTTTATATACACTTTCTTGGTTAAGTCCTCACAGCTATCCTTTGCGGCAGTTACCCTTATTTTAGAGTTAAAGAGAACAAGGCAGGGGCTGGAACTGAGGTACGGCAGACTGAGCCACCATGTACAATGCCAGCATCCTGTACCAGAGTGCTGGTTTGAGTCCTGGCAGCTCTGTTTCTGCTTCAGCTTCCTGTTGGTGTGCCTGGGAAAGCAGCAGTTTGGCCTGAAGTGCTTGAACCACTGCTATCCATGTAGGAGACTCAGACAGTTCCTGGCTCCTGGGTTTGACCTTGCCTAGCTCCAGCTGTTGTGGCCATTTAGGGAGGAAGCCAGCAGGTAGCATTGTCTCTCCTTCTCTTTGTCACTGCCTTTAAACAAACAAATCTTTAATGAAAGGGGAGGGAGGGAGGGTAGGAGAGAGAGAGGAAAGAACAGGAAGACAGACAACCAAAGGCATACAGGGCTTAGGTTATACCAAAGGTTATATACTTAGTAAGAACCATACATTTCAACATGAGCCTTATCAGCTGCTATTCCTTTTTAAAAGTGAGCCTACATTCTAGTATGGATTTGGGTCAGTGGTTGCATGATTCCCAGTAAAGGAAATATAGGGACAACTGCCAGCAGGTGTCCAACTATCTTGAGATACTAGAGTTGCAAATCATAGTACTTCTATGGCTACTCACACAGAGTTTTCCATGTTCCTCAAGATGTCATTTAAGTGTCCTTGAAATAAAATATGAGCTGTTAGTCTTATTAAATGTATCTCTTCTTCAAATTTCAAACAAAAATAACGGCACCTGGCCCTCTGGAACATGAACAGCAACCCAAGAAGCGTTCTAGCCCCGGTGAGCATGTGGCTGATAAGAGAACTGTATAAAACACAAAATGACAAAGTTCTAATCCCAGTTCTAATCCTCAGGAACTATCACTTTAGGAAAGTCACTGAAGAATCTGGTTAAGGCAAGTAAGTGGCACTGGTGGACGTGTAAACTGCTCTTCCTTTTCTGAAGGGAAATTTCAACGTGCCTACCACATACCCAGCAAGTCTACCACAGTAAATAATCTGGCAACAGTATAAAGATATGTAAAATGGGATGTTCATTGAAATATTAAAGCAACTACATGTTAATTACTAAGGGAATGTTAACTCTTAACAGCACCATGTATATGATAGCACAAAAATACACAGGAATATCACTTATCCATTAAGAATACTATCCACTTATGAGCACAGAAACAGACTACAATGTATGTAAACAATATATGAAAAAAGTTTAAGTAACATCAGAAATATATATTATCACACAATGACATTTTAAAAAGGTGAAGTATGTGTCCATAGAAAAAAAATGTAGTGAATATGGAAAAGTTTACCCTGCTGTGTCTGCATGTTGGAACTCTATGTGATTGTTGCTTTCTTCTTTAATGCTTTCTTGCATTTTTTGTCCTTACACTGTGCAGGTATTATTCTAAGAAAAAATAATGCTATTTATATTTTGAAAAGGGTAAAATGGAGCAACTATAATAATTCCTGTTCACAAAGTGTATACTGTAGGGACTTGTATGTTACATAGAACACAGGAAAGCATTAAATGGAAAGCATTTGGGTCAACTTCCTTTTTGCTTCTTTGCCTCTAGAGATCTTTGTTTTAAATTTTTCATCTTCATTAGTTGAGCCACTGCCATCTATACTGGCTAAAAATGATCTGTGCTGAAGGAGAGCCCAATAGGACAGTTCCACAGTACACACAGAAAACTCCACAATTATTTTAGTTTTGGTTCTCCCCTGAGCAGACCCTGAGATGAAGATTCAAGGGCAGGTAGTTTAACTTGGGATGTAACAAGCAATGCACTAGTAGGGAAGTAATCAGTCAGAAAGTGGAAAGAACAGCAACACAAGATGCATTATCAATCAAGTTCCCATTCCACTGGGGCTTAATTCCTCTGGGGAATCCTTGGAGTCAGGTTAGGGCACATGGCTCAGCTTTCCTGTCTGAGGCAGAGTTTACCTCTCACCAATCACAGGTTGAAGACTAATCCTGAGGGACAAGAGTTCCATGACTTTTCTGGTCTGTTGTATGTGCAGGCCAAGTGGGCTCCTGGAGCAAAGAAAGCCTTCCAAGATCAATCATAGATGCTGACAGTTGGGATGCTAGGGAGAATGTGCAGTGCCAGGAGCACCTGACAGCATGTGCATACAAGGGACCACTCTGAGAAGATATATCGCCTCGCTGATGGCCTGACCGTGTTCAGAGGATTTACACAGCAGCAGAGTTTGGGACTGAGTTGGTGAGAAAGAAACTTAGCCAATGAAAATACCAGTCAAAAACTGCAAATGGGGAAAACACTGTGTATAAAAGGAAAGGAAATTAGGTGTTACTACAAGTCTCTGTTACGATTAGCTTTTACGTGGTCATAATACTACAACCATTGACTATGAAGCTAATGAAAATCACCACTGCATTGGAAACGTGAGGAGGGAGAGGGCATTATGGCACAGCAGATTAAGACACCCCTGGGACACACACAACTCATGCTGGAGAGCCTGGTTCAAATCCTGGCTCCTCTGCTTCCTCATAATAAGTCCTGGGAGGCAGCATGTATTGGCTCAGGTACTTGGGTCCTTGTCACCCTGTGGGAGACCCAGATGATGTTCTGGACTCCTGGTTTCAGCCTCAGTTGGTCCTGGCTATTGTGGGCATTTGGAGAGTGAACCAGCAGATGGAATGTCAATCTCTGTCTCTCTCTGCCTCACTCTGTCTCTGCTCTTCAAATAAGTAAATCTTTTAAAGTAAAAGGAAAGATGTGGAGAAAGAAAAGACAGCTATGCTATAGAATTATTTGATTATTTCAACTATGTGATGAAATTTTGAAAAAGTGTCATAAAATTTTGATTAAAAGGCAGGCCAACACAATCACACTACACTAATAGGACACCTCCATTATGCAACACACAGATGTATTGGGAATCACCTGCTAAGTGTCAAACTATAATGAAGTTTTAAATAAAGGATGAACAAACTTTCAGAAGACAGTTCTCTGCAATACTTGGGAATGATCTGAACATCGAACACCTCTCTAGCCCCACCCCTACCACCTGGTAAAATAAATCCCAAAATCTGCAATATTAAAGGTAGTTTTTGCTACTTAAGTTTAAACATAATCATTATAATAAAGAGAATTCTAGACCCGGTGTTATCATCTTTGATATCTGAACTCACAGCCAACTTCAAAATTACACCTGCCTTGCAAAGGAGCTGAAGAATTCACTGGCTCCACTCATGGCCCATCTTCCCTCCTTGGCCTACCTGATGCTGCCCCCAGCTTCCTTGCCTCTCTTTTCAGTAATGCTTGGTACACGGGCAGCACCTTGGTTTAAAAGCATCTCCTGCTATAATCTCTAATTTCACCCATGCTATCTCATTTTGCAGATGAGAACTGCACAGTTCACAAGGTTGTGAGATTTGACACCAGCATTAGGAGGGGCCAGGCACGGACATGGGCATCTGAGAGGGGGTTTCTCCACCAGCAACCTCAATCACCAAAGAAATTCAAGAGGTCTGAACTTGGACACGAGGGCAGGGCAGGGCGGGTGGGGATTACTTCTTGGGTTTCTCTATCCTGCAACTGAATTTCCAGTTTCTTGTCCTTAGGAATACAGGCCAGGAGCCGCAGCATCTGTGAGTGTCACAAAATAAATCGGCCATCTTCGCATCAGTTGCTGTAGATCTGAAACCCATCTGTGCACTGTGCAACGCCAGCACAACATGCATGATCTCTGCCGCCACTGGCCGTGCCCGTCACAAGTCTGTTCTGGTCCCATTTACCCTGTCTTTAAAAGCACGTTTTCTGGGAAGCGGTACGCAGGCTTCAGACTCGGGCCTATCATTTAAATCGGGAACTTGAGAGTCCAGAACCCTGCGGCCCGCGAGCTCCCTCCGGGAGCAGCTACCGCGGGGGACTCCTCCACGCGGGTCCTCCCGGTGGGGAGACTCCGGTGGCGTTACCTGGGGGGCCCGTCAGGAACACGTGGCGGGCCATGCGGGCAGTCTGGGGTCGGGGTCCCACTCAGGATCTCCGTGCGAGGTTGGGCAGTGGATCCGGGTCGGGGTCGGGGTCGGGGTCGCAGCCGCGAGCAGGGTCCCACCCCTCGGGTGCCCAGGCCCCACCTCCGCCTCCCGGAAGCACGGCCCCACGGCCGCGCATGCTCTTTCACCGCGACCTCATTTGCGCATGCGCAGTCAGCCTCGGCGGCTACTTGGGTGCCTCAGGTGTCTGTAGAGGTTTAGAGGTCAGTGGTCCGGTGTCTGGGGTGCTGGGCTTATGTGGAGTGTTTCCAGGCTTACGCACGTGAGAACGTTGAGTCCCTAAATCACTGCTACTCCAAATGAGCGCCGTCTCCTGAGACTTCTGTCCGTGGGACTAGGACCTGCGGGCTGAAATTCCCCCAGGCTGCCGAGAGACTGCCCTTCTGTGGAAGGTTTGAGTCCCGGAAGCGCCCCTCGGAGGAGGAGAAGGCCTTGATAAGGATTCAAACCCAGCCCAGTGTTCTCAGAGCTGCGAGTTTTCAATTCCCTGTCACCTTAGCTTCACGTCCGGACCTAAGGAATGGCTGCAGACGAAATTAGAGTGAAGTTAGCTCGCAGATCGCACTGGCTGTTACTTGTGTTCTAAGAGCGGAAAGCACCTCATTAAGATAGAATGAATGTACCTATGAGCTGGAAGAGGAGGTGGGCTTTGTGGGCAGAAAAGGACTGATGAGGACAAACGGGACAGAAGGCAGGTTGCTCCTTTGACGTTACTTTCCTTATTGTGCCGACCCAGGTTGACTGGAATCTCCTGCTTTTCAGGAAAACTGGCCCATTTAAAATTTCGGTGTGATCACCTGGCACTTAGCATGAGAGATTCCATTCTGATTCCATCCGGTCTGCCCTGGCTAGTTCAGGAAATCAGTCCAAAACAACAGCCTACCATAAACTTTAATAGGAGAAATGGATCTTGGGCCAGTCCTGAGCATCTGAGCTTCCTCCCCCGCGTAAACTCCAGGAAGTTCCTAAAGGCCTCCCGGGTTGAGACCTGTTTTAGGCAGGCTTCCCAGCTTCAGTCATGCACATAAAGCCCAGTTTCTCCTTGTCTTCAAATGGAAGTGTAAATCAATACAATACACACCTGAAAGGTCTCCTGCACAGACTTTAAGTAACTTCTCCACCTCACTTACCCATTTAAAGTGTTCCAGCCATCAGAATGAAATGGCAATTGCCTTGGGCCAGGTTTACCTATAAACTCTTTCAGTCTGACACGTGTAGTGTTTGACTTGTGATCAATCATTCTCCAACCTGGCTGAAAAAGCAATTTCAGTGAGTGTTTAGCTTAACTGGTTTATACCCACACGTGGACTTCCGTTAACCTGCAATATATGCTGGTCAGATGGCCCCAATTTCTTGCTATTAAAAAAAATCATCCGTTTATGAAGTCAGATTTATACAATATTGCTGTCAACACCATTTCCCTATCATATATAATGCTGTATTATATCTTTTTTAATCTCAACTGGTAATGCAGGGAATTTCATCTCAATGTTTTTTGCACTTCCATGAAAGCTGGAGTCAATGAGTAGCTGATACGAAAAACCATAGAAAGATCCTCAAAAAAAAAAAAAAAAAGGAAAGCATATATATAGTAATATCTGTCTCTTGTATCAAAAATATTAATTTTACATGTTGATTTTGTAACATTTTCTATCACTGGGAAGCAGCTTGAATGGGCGAGGTTCCCCAGAAGTTTGGCTATTTTCTTTTGATGCTATCCCTGGAATTCTGGCATCAGTTCAGGTAGCCCAAGTTTATATGGAAAATTAGAGAATTGATATCTCAGTGAACAAAAAGCAAATTCTTCCAGAGTTGGATGTTTTTTATTCATTGCAAGTTACTTTTTTGAGTAGTGGTTACATATGTATCTTTACCTTATGATAATTCATTCATTGAACCCTGATAATTTTTTTCCTCTATTCATGGGTTGTGATAAGCCAGTAACAACAGATTAAATACATTTTTTATATATTAGGGGTTAACAACAAAAAACAGAATGGCACAACTGGAAAGTTTCTTACGGTTAATAGGCAGGGGCAGGTGTTGAAGGTTAAGATGCTGGTTAAGACTCCCATGTCCCATGTTGGTGTGCCTGGATTCAGTGTCCAGCTCCAACTCCTGATTCCAGCTTCTGCTTAGGCAGACTCTGGCAAGCAGCAGTGATAGTTCAAGTAATTGGATTCCTGCCAGCCACATGGGGACCTGGATTGTATTCAAGCTGCTACGGACTAGATGCTTGTGTCCCGAAAAGTCAACAATTCATCATCATGTCCAATATGATTGTGTTAGGAGGTGGTGCTTTAGGGAGGTAATTTGTTCATGGGAGTAGAGCCTTCCTGAATGGGATTAATGACCTTACATAAAGATAGGAGAGTGCGTATTTTCTCTTTTCTCTGCCTTCTACCATGTAAGGAACTGCAAGAAGATCACCAAGAGGAGGGCCTTCACTAAGAGCCCAACCATGTTGGCGCCTGGATCTTAAACTTCTAGCCTACAGAGTTGGGAGAAATATATATGGCTTAACCCCTGTCTGTGGTATGATATTGTAGCTCCAGCTAAGCCACAAGGTGGAATTACCTAAGGAATGGCTGATTACAGTCTTTTATTACTGCAGCACCTGGGTGCAGCTTCCTTTTGATTGGCTATAGTTTAGTTCTTTATTAAAGCAGTCACAAGTCCCTCTACAGTGTCTATAGAATCCCAAAATACTTGAAAACACAATTTATTTTGTGTTCTAAACCAAAAGTTCCACATTAGCTACCCCTTAATCTTGGTCAATTCAGGATGGATGGTCAGTGTACAGTTAAAGGACAGAGGAGTATTTGAGAAGCAAAGCAAAGTTTTTTTTTTTTTTTTTAATCAAGGTAAATAAGCTGTTTCCTTCTTATAAACAGATCATGGGCTAATAGTCTGTTCTAAATTGGCTGTCTTGTAAGTGGTGGCAATGGAATACCAACACAGTCTGAACCTGAAATCTGAGCTGGTAGTGCTGTGGGTGCTAGTCATTGTGCAGAGCCATGTTCTATGCTGGGTGCAAAGAACTCATGCAGGATCGAAGCAGGGAAGCCTGCCCCTCCTCAACCGTTCCTGGCATCCTGTGGCATCTCCCTATCCTGAACATAGTACAGATATTTCTAAAATATCTATACTAATTTCCTAAATACAGGAAAACTGAAAACAGAGCAAAGAATGTGAAATAATCAAAGTGGGAAAAGAGGCAAGCATGTTGTTTGACCAGCCCACCTTTTATTTCCTGTGTAGAAACAACACCTACATTCTCCTTTTAGGAACACTGTGATGAAAAGGAGTAGAACGTACCTCTTGTATACTTCTGTAGGGGGCACATGACCCAAGCCTGGCCAGTGAGATCATCCCATCTTCTGTCCTCCCAGATTGGCCCTGAGAAAGCCACAGGACCTGACCTAGGTCAGCAACACATAATACCAGGATTTTCATTTGACCTGCTGACCAGGTCCACTGCTTGCCAGTGAGGGTTGAAGACAGCCATCAGCCAGCCTACCTCAAGCACAGGGACAAGGGGAAATGAGAGGAGATGTGAGAGGTTCCCTTCCCACTCTCCCCAACTATATCCTACTCATCCTGCAGGACAAGCTGCACTGGAGCTGCCTTGGGAAGGCTTTCTGAGTTTCCAGGCCCTCATTAGCATACCTCATGGCTTTCCTTTACAACATCCCCACAATTGTGACAAGGCAAGAATCTGTTTGCCTTTTCTCCTGTCACCTCGTTGTGAATTCCTCAAAGAGGCAAGGGTTGAAGAAATCTTGTCTTACTCATCTCTTTATACCCAGCACATAGCAGAGTACTTATGGTGCATTCATTCACCACTGTGCTGTAGGTGCTAGGAGTACAGCCACAACCAAAACAGTCTCTGCCCTGAAAGAGCTTATATTCTAGTAGGGAGACACAAACAGATAGCTAAGTCAGTATATCGAATGCTTCATGGTGGTAAGGCCATGGAGAAAGAATAAAAGGGATGAAGAATGAAATGGGAAGTGTGCGTCTATGCTGTTTTACAGAGGATGATCAAGGCAGACATCACTGAGAAGATCGTATTTGAGCAGAGACCTGGGGTGGATGTCTGGAGAGAGGCATCTGTTTGTGCAAAGGTCCTGAGGCAGGAGTATTGGCCCGAGAGGGAATAGCAGCAAACCATTGTGTCTGGAACAGAATTAGAGGGATGGATTGGAGATTAGGGCAGAGTGGCAGCATGAAGCCAGATCCTTCTGGCCTTTGCAAGGCATGGTGAATACTCTAGCCTTTACCGTAATAGAGCAGGAAAGCCATTGGAGGAAGCAGTGGTAGAACAGCAAGACAGTTCTCAAGGCTTTCCCAACCCTAATGGTTGGAGTGCACTGAGGTCAACAGCAAATGATCACCCTCAGGTGATCCCCCTATCATATGTGCATAAAACTGACCAAACAAGTTGTGCAGGTCACTCGTCTACTGGGCATTTCCCTTCTAATAAGAACAGCTGGGTGTTAGTTGGTGCACAGTGTATGTTTTCGGAGACAATCCACCCTGCAAAATATCCCAGTTACCGTCACTGTCCCATCAACCTCTCCCAACAGAGGTCACCTGGAGTTACAGAGCTAGGGGGAGGCAGCACCAGCTGAAAAGAATGTTCCAAGGAGTCCCAACAGGTGCTGTTGGAGAAGTGAAAGTCTTACCTTTTTGGGACAGAACAAACTAAAATATCCCCCCAAACTCCCTGCCCTCCCCCTAGCCTGCACATGCCATGTATAATCTCCAAGACTGAATACACAGTAGCTGTTACTCCCGTGATTAGGTTATATTGGTTGACTTTAAGATATGGAGATTATCCAGGTGGGCCTGATTTTTCACAAAAGCCTTTAAAATAAAGCTGGGAGTTTTCTCTCTATAGTCCCCAATGAGGAAGTCAGAGGTTTGAAGCTGAAGATTCAATCTATGTTTGATGGCTTAAAGAAAGAGAACTATGTGGCCAGGATGCACATAGACTCTTGAGCTGAGAGCCAGCAGAAAGTCAGCAAGGAAATGAGGCCCTCTGTCCCACAACCACAAAGGCCTCATTCTCTTCCCCAGAGGAGAAAATCAGCCCTTCTGAGCAGAAAACCCAGCCACACCATACCTGGACTTGCAGACTGTTAACTAATGAAGCATGGTGCATTTAGTTAAGTTTATGGTCACTTCTCGTGTGGCAATAGGAGATCAATTCCTCACCTGCACGACTGCACCCCCACTGGAGATCTCCCCAGGCCCACTCACGTCTGAGGTCCTGGACTTGGAGGATTATCAAAGAAATGGTGACTATGTTTTAAAATTACCACACCTTAGAGTAGACCTCCAACTCTATGTATATGAATCCACTGAATTCTTATAAAACCGCAAGAGGGGTTTCCCCCACCCTCCTCTTACAGTTACACAAATCAGGCATTGGGGAAACAGCATTCTGCCAAGCCAACTCAGTGAACTATCCCTACTCAGAGTGAAACGTGAACACAGATTTGTTGCCTTCAAAATCCATGCGTTATTAAGTGTTGATTTTGGAGATGATATTGTTTATAATTTTTTAGACAAAATAGTATTGCTATTCATTTATGTTCAAGCTTTTACTGAATTTTTACCATTAAAGGAGTTTCTTTTTCTTTAACTACAAATTTGAATTACTGTACCAACACTAAAGTTAACAGGAGTAATAATTGTATGTGTGAGTGCTCATGCAAATTCATAGATTTCCAAGTTTAGAAAATCTTTTTATAATCCCATCTTATTTGAGCAAAGGCTCTACATTTATGTACATCATGTCCTAGTGTACATGGGAAAAGGGGCTTTGCAGAAGCTGTGACTCAAATTAATGGCCAGTAAGAGAACTGGAAGTAGAAAACAGCTTTCTGATTGTGGTCAGTGTCTCTTGGCCACTTTCTGGGCCTATTCTTTTGGCTATTTGGGTTATACCTCCTTTTTTTTTTTTAAGATTTATTTATTCATTTATTTGACAGGTAGAGTTACAGACAGTGAGAGTGAGAAAGAAAAATCTTCCTTTCGTTGGTTCACTCTCCAAATGGCCGCAATGGCTAGAGCTGCACAGATCCGAAGCCAGGAGCCAGGTGCTTCTCCTGGTCTTCCATGCTGGTGCAGGGGCCCAAGCACTTGGGCCATCCTCCACTGCTATCCCAGGCCACAGCAGAGAGCTGGACTGGAAGAGGAGCAACTGGGACTAGAACTGGTACCTATATGGGATACCAGCACCGCAGGCGGAGGATTAATCTAGTGTGCCACAGCACCGGCGACGGCCCCAGCCCCTGGGGTATACCTTTTAAAAGGAGTGGTCATCGTCAGAGCAGGTACAGAAAAACCATGCAAATGATACTCAGTCAAATCCCTGCAAGATTACACCAAAGATGATGACACAGGGAAAAAGAAGGCAATGCTCTCTAGCCTCTTCTCAAATAATAGCACTAAATAACAAAGGTTTTATAAGGGAGCTGCCACGGACAAGCTGAGAGGTAGAGGGAAAAGGGGGACCTGTCAGTAGAGCTTCTGTTTGGCCCCAGTCATTTCATGAGGAATGCTAATACGGTGCAGCTAGCTTCTGTTCAGGTTCATATTCATTCGTTTCACTTGGATCCCGTCAGCGAAGAATGCATTGTTTGTGAAATAATGTGTCACTTGTTCTGGTTTGAATCTGCCTGTGATGAGGAGGAATCCAGAATTGCTGTGTTAATGAATATTCAACAGCTGATCTAAAAAGAGCAGATTATTGAATATACCTACCTCAACTTCTGCCTCCTCCCCTACCACCCTCCTTCCTCTCCTTTCTTTTTCTCTCCTATATTGCTCCAGATTCTGTGGTAAATAGTAGGGATTAAAGGTACATTAAAAATATTCTTGCTCTGTCCTTCTTGACAGAGGCTGCCCTCAGCAGAAACTACTTTACCATAGCACAACCTGCTGAGGGTTAATCAGAGCCTAACTCAGCTAGAAGAAGAGTGCCATGGCAGGAAAACAACAAAAACATAGCTTCTCTGTGGAGAGGATTAAGACTGTCAGAAACATTGCCTTTTTTTATATCTGAGGTCTAAAATTTGAAAATAAATTCAGATGGTCACAAGCTACAACATTTTTTTAATTTAAAACGAAAATGTCTTTATTTGAGCTCTATAAGGAAGAGTTATTTTTCCACCCCTTTAGATTACAATCTTATTGAAGAAGAGTTGCCAGCAAGAGAGTTGGCCTTGCATTTTAGACACATTTTAATACTTTTACAGTTACAAATGATAATAGCTAACATATACATAGTGTTTACTAGATGCCAGGCTATGTTCTAAGAGTGTTATAAATGATATGAACCCTTCTAATGATCACAGAACTTTCTTTTATATATTTGGAGAAACTGAGGCACAGAGGTTAAGAGACTTGTCAAAGGCTTCTATCCATCCATGCATCCATCCATCCATACATATGCATATACGTAGAATAGGCTCATTGACTTATGATGGGGTTATATCTTGATACACCACTGTTACTTGAAAATATAGTAAGGCAAAAATGCATTGAATGCAACTAACCCAGAAAATACCCTAGCCTAACAGCATGGTATATTGTACAATATTGGTTGTAGGAGCTTTGGTTCTCTGCCCCTGCCAGCAAGGAGAGAGAAAAAATCATATTGACAGCCCAAAGAAAAAGCCCAAAAAGAAAAAGCACAAATTGATAGCCCAAGAAAAAGATAAAAATTAAAATGCAAAGGATGGTTTCAATTGAAGGTGCATTGCTTTCTTTTTTAAAAATTTACTTAAGGTATACAAATGTCATGTATTTCATGTAAAGATTTAGGAACATAGTGATACTTCCTACCCTACCCTTCCTGCCACTCATACTCCCAACCTTCCTACTCCTTCCTCTCTTATTCTCTCTCAATTTTTACAATGACTTACATTAAGTTTACTTTTTACTCATAAGGTTAACCCTACCCTAAATAAGGAGTTCAACAAATAGGATGAAGAAAAAGACACTGTTCTTCAACAGTAGAGACAAGGTCTGTAACAATCATTGAATCTCAAAATGTCAATTTCACTCCTATACATTACATTTTTGGTACTCTATTAGTTACCACAGATCAAGGAAAACATGGTATTTGTCATTTTGGGACTGGCTTATTTCACTATAATTCATTTTGTTGGAAATGATGGGATTTCATTCTTTTTTATGGATGAATAGTATTCCATAGTGTATCTGTACCACAGTTTCATCATTTGATGGACATCTGGGTTGATTTCATTCCTTATCTATTGTGAATTGAGCTATAATGAACATGGGGGTACAGATAACTCTTTCATGTGCTGATTTCATTTCCCTTGGGTAGTGTGGGATGGCTGGATCATATGGTATATGTATTTTCAGCTTTCTGAGTTATCTCCGTACTGTCTTCCACAATAATCACAATAATCACAATAATCACAATAATCACAATAATCAACCATTGTTGATTAGGGTAACGTTTTCCCTCGCATTCTCACTGGCATTTATTGTTTGTTGATTTATGTATGAGAACCATTATAACTGGGGTGAGGTGAAACCTCATTGTGGTTCTGATTTGCATTTCCCTGTTGGCTAGTGATCCTGAACATTTTTTCATGCATCTGTTGCCATTTGAATTTCCTCTTTTGAAAAATGTATGTTCAAGTCCTTTGCCCATTTCTTAACTGGATTGTTTGTTTTGATACTGTTGAGTTGTATGATCTCTCTATACATTCTGGATATTAATCCTTTATCAGTTGCATAATTTGCATATATTTCTCCCATTGTGTCAGTTGCCTCTTCACTTTGCTAAATGTTTCCTTTGCAGTACAGAAGCTTTGTAGCTTGATGTAATCCCATTTGTCTGTTTTTTTTTTCTTTTACTGCCTGTGCTTCTGGGATCTTTTCCAAGAAGTCTTTGCCTGTGCCGATGTCTTACAGCATTTCTCCAATGTTCTCCTCTAGTAATTTTATGGTACCAGGTCATCAGTTTAGATCCTTGATTCATTTTGTTTGATTTTTGTACAAGGTATGAGATAGGGGTCCTATTTCACATTGCTGCATGTGAGAGCCAATTTTCCCAGCACCATTTGTTGAAAAGACTATCCTTTATTAAGAGATTGACTTTAGTTCTTTTGTCAAAGATTAGTTGGTTTTATATGTATAGATTGATTTCTGGAGTTTCTATTCTGTTCAGTTAGTCTACATGTCTATTTTTATGCCAGTACCAGGTTTTTTTGATGATAACTGCCTTGGAGTATGTCTTGAAATCTGGAATTGTGATGCCTCCTGCTTTGTTTCTGTTGTATAAGATAGTTTTAGTTATTTGGGGTCTTTTGTGTTTCCATATGAATTTTTAATTAATTAATTTATTTTTTTGACAGGCAGATTTAGACAGTGAGAGAGAGAGAGAGACAGAGAGAAAGGTCTTCCTATCCGTTGGTTCAGCCCCCAAATGGCTGCTGTGGCCGGCGCGCTGTGCTGATCTGAAGCCAGGAGCCAGGTGCTTCTCCTGGTCTCCCATGTGGGTGCAGGGCCCAAGCACTTGAGCCATCCTCCACTGCCTTCCTGGACCACAGCAGAGAGCTGAACTGGAAGAGGAGCAACCAGGACAGAATCCGGCACCCCAACCGGGACTAGAACCTGGAGTGCCAGCACCTCAAGTGGAGGATTAGCCTAGTGAGCCACGGCACCAGCCTCCATATGAATTTTAACATCATTTTTTTTCTAGATCTGAGAAGAATTTTGTTAGTATTTTGAACAGGATTGCATTGAAACTGTAAATTGTTTTTGGTAGTATGGATATTTTGATTATATTAATTCTTCCAATCCATGAACATGGAAGATTTTTCCATTTTTTGTGCCTTCTTCTATTTGTTTTTTTAATGTTTCTTTCATCATAGAGATCTTTCACATCCTTGGTTGAATGTATCTTATGGTATTGAATTTTTTCTGTAGTTATTGTGAATGAGTTTTATCTTAGAAGTTCTTTCTCAGCCATGGCATTGTCTGTGTATACAAAAGCTATCGATTTTTTTGTGTTCATTTTATATTCTGCTGCTTTTCCAAACTGTTCTGTGAGTTCCAGTAGTTTCTTAGTGAAATCTTCTGGTTGCCCTATAAATAGAATGATGTCATCTGCAAATAAGGATAATCTGACTTCCTCCTTTCCAATTTGTATCTATTTGATTTCCTTTTTCCTGCCTAATAGCTCTGACTAAAAGTTCCAGATAATGAATAGGAATGGTGCAAATGAACCTCCTTGCCTGGTTCCTGATCTTAGTGGAAATGCTTAAGACTTTCCCCCATTTAGTAAAATGCTGGCTGTGCATTTGTCATAAATTGCCTTTATTAGGTTGAGGAATGTTCTTTCTACACCCAATTTGCTTAAAGTTTTCAACATAAAAGGATGTTGTAATTTAACAAATGCTTTCTCTGCATATATTGAGATAATTATATTGTTTTTGTTGTTTAGTTTGTTAATGTGATGTATCACATTTATTGATTTGTCAATATTGAACTATCCCTTCATACCAAGGATGAATCCCACTTGGTCTAGGTGAATGATCTTTCTGATGTTCTGTTGGATTCAGTTAGCTAGTATTTTTTGAGGATTTTTACAACTATGTTCTTCATGGATATTGGTCTATAATTCTCTTTCTTTGTTGTATCTTTTTCTGGTTTAGGAATTAAGGTGATGCTGGCCTCATAGAAGGAGTTTGGGAAGATTACCTCCCTTTCATTTGTTTTGAATACCTTGAAATACATTGGAATTAGTTCCTCTTTAACTGTCTGGTAGAATTCAGCAGTGAAGCCACCCAGTCCTGGGATTTTCTTTTTTGGGAGGGTCTTTATTACTGATTCATTGTCTGTCTTGGTTATTGTCCTATTTAGGTTTTCTATGTCTTCATGACTCAATTTGGTAGACTGTGAGTCCAAGAATTTATCCATTTCTTTTAGATTTTTCAATTTGTTGGCATACAGCTCTTCGTAGTAATTCCTGATGATTCTTTTTATCTCTGTGGTATCTGTTGTTACATTTTCTTTTTCACCATTGATTTTATTAATTTAAGTGTTCCCCTCTTTTTCTTTGGCTATTGGACCAATGGTATATCAATTTTTTATGCATGCTTTTCATTTCACTGATTTTTAGTATTTTTTTAGTTTCAATTTTGTTTATTCTCTAATTTTAATTATTTGTTTCCTCCTAGCAATTTTGGTTTTGGTGTGTTGTTGTTTTTCTAGAGCCTTGAGATACTTTGATAGGTCATTTATTTGATGCCTTTCCAATTTCTTCATGTAGGCACCGATTGCTATAAACTTCTTTCTTAAAACTGATTTTGTTGTCTCATAAGTTTTTATATGTTGTATTGTCATAGTCATTCATTTGTAGACTTTTTTTAAAAATTTTCTTCTGATTTCTTCTGTGACCCACTGTGTCATTCAGGAGCATGTTGTTCAGTCTCCATGTGTTTGCATATATTCCAGTGATTCTTGAGTTGTTGATTTCCAGTTTCATCTCATTGTGGTCAAAGAAGATGCATGGTATGATTTCGATTTTTCTAAATTTGTTGAAACATGCTTTATGGCCTAGCAAATGGTCTATGCCAGAGAAAGTTCCATGCGCTGATGAAAACAATGTGTATTCTGCAACTGTGTATTGAGATTCTGAAGATATCAGTTATGTCCATTTGGTCCAAAGTGTCGATTAGCTCTGTTGTTTCATTGTCGATTTTTCTTATTGGTTCGTCTGTCCATTGATGAAAGTGGAGTGTTGAAGTCCCCATTATGGTTATATTGGATCTATGTCTCCTTTTAAATTCATTAACATTTGTTTTAAATAGCCAGACATCTTGGCAATGAGTACATATACATTTATTATAGTCACATCTTCCTTTGAAATTGGCCCCTTAACCATTATATAGTGCCCTTCTTTGTCTCTTTAAATGGTTCTTGTGTTAAAGTCTATTTTCTCTGATATTAGGATTGCTACACCTGCTCATTTTTGTTTTATGTTAGCCTGGAATATAATTTTCCATCCTTTTACTTTCAGTATGCATGTATCTTTGTTGGTGAGGTGTGTTTCTCCTAGTCAGCAAATAGATGAGTCTTGTTTTTTAAGGCATTCAGCCACTCTGTATCTTTTTTTTAATTAATTAATTAATTAATTTGAAAGAGTTACAGAGAGAGAAGGAAAGGCAGAGAGAGAGAAAGAGAGAGAGAGAGAAGTCTTCCATCTGATGGTTCATTCCCCAGATGGCCACAACAGCCAGAGCTGTGCCAATCCATAGGCAGGAACCAGGAGCTTCTTACAGGTCTCCCACATGGGTGCAGGGGCCCAAAGACTTGGGCCATCTTGTACTGCTTTCCCAGGCCATGGCAGAGAGCTGGATTGGTAGTGGAGCAGCCAGGACTTGAACCAGTGCCATAATGGGATGTTGGCACTGCAGGCAGCAGCTTTACCTGTTATGCCACAGCACCAGCACCAGCCAGTCTGTATCTTTTAACTGCATAATTTAGGCCATTAACATCCAGGGTTGCTACTGATAAGTAACAACTTGGCCTGCCATTTTTCTGTACATATTCCTGTTGTTTGCTTTGGATTTCTTTTATACTTTAACTTGGAGATTTCCTGCCTTCAGATTCTTTCATAATGATGGCTATATTTCTTGTGTAACACATCCTTAAGCATCATTAGTAAGGCTGGACAAATGGTGACAATTTCTATTTGTTATGGAAAGTCTTTATTTCAGCTTCATTCATAAATGAGAGCTTTGCAGGGTACATTATTCTGGGTTGACAGTTTTTTTTTTCTCTTTAGACTTGGACTGTATATCTCCATTTTCCCCTAGCCTGTAGGGTTTCTAATGAGAAATCAGCTTTGAGTCTAATTGGAGATCCTGTGCAAGCAATTTGGCATTTTTCTCGTTCACACTTTAGAATCTTTCTTTATGCTTTACTGTAGAAAGTTTGACTACAATGTGTCTATTAGGAGTTCCATGTGGTTTCTGTGCTTGA